TGGATTGGGTTGGGTGGATTGGATTGGGTGGGATAAGATAAGATGGGACAAGTTGGGTTGGATAAGATAAGAAGGATTGGATTGGAAAAGATAAGCTGGATTGGATAAGAAAGCCCGCCGCAGGCGCCGAAAAAAATGAATTATGAAATTTGCGACATGCGTTAGCGCCGGGACGCCCGGGACACCCAGGACACCCAGGACACCGCCCGGCCCAACTGCGACACCTCCCGCCCGCCGGCGGACGGGAAACGGACTTTCGCTCCCACTGACACCCGGGACACCCGGGACACCGCCCGGCCCAACTGGGACACCTCCCGCCCACCGGCGGACGGGAAACAAACTTTCGCTCCTACTGACACCCGGGACACCCGGGACACCGCCCGGCCCAACTGGGACACCTCCCAGCCACCGGCGGACGGGATCGGACTTTCGCTCCTACTTCGGCCTAGCTACAGGAAGATCACGCGCAGTTTCGCCTCGCCCGCACGCACGACACGAAACCGAAACCGATTTCCCGGTGGGGGGTCTCCGTTTCACTGCGATCTCACCCCCCAACCCCCGATTACCACCATCACCGAGATCGGGACACTTTTCCCTCGGTGGAGGCACACCGCCAATATTGATGTTGGTGTAAACCTCTGGCCATCTGAGACCAAGAGTTATGCTAGTGAGCAGGTGGTCAAGAGGCTGCAACAGGGTAAGTGCCGTCGGTCGCGAGGGTCTGCTGTGCAGCACACACACACACACACACCGACAGTCCCCACCGTATGAATGTGCCATGTGCGAGACAAGTGCTGGTAGCTGCGAGGTGGCTCAGTGGCATCTACGTTCACATATTCCCATTGCTTCTCGGGAATTCCGTTTTCAGCAGCGCGCGTGATGCCACACTAGTGGGGCACGATGTTCGGCGAAGTCGGTGCGAATCTCCCTCCTGCGGAAGGTGAACCCAATCAGCAGGCTCACAAGCGTGTGGAAAAGGCTAAGGCGGACTTGGCGTGGAAGCTCGGTGTCACCAATTCTCAGCGTAACAGGTTGATGGAAGCAGCAGAGACGTATCGGTTCAGTATAAGGTCGACGATCCCATACTTGTTGCCATGAAGCCTGATCATGGTCAGGAGTACTTCAGTAGTGGAAACAATGGGTTTTCAAAACGTTTGGTCTTTAGAAGCTCTGCGTGGCGATGCCCCCGTCGCCACGCGTGCCCTCTCCGTGCCTGCGGGGGCGCCGCCACGCAGAAGTGCTGGAGACCGAGCATTCGGGGCGTCGCGCGCTGCGGGTGTTTTCGGGGGGAGGAGAGGATCCTTTGGATCCTTTGGATACGGGGACACAGTCCCTCCCTTCTCTTCCAGAACTTTCGGGTGCGGGGGCCATCCAGACCTTTTGCGGGTCCGTGCAGAGGGGGCGACAGCCCCTGCGCGGCACCCCGACAGGCCCCCGCACCCCGACAAAAAGTGCTTGCACTGCGCCACCACGGCGCCGACCCGAAGCAGCCCCAGGGAGCGCGGTTATCTTCGTTCCCACGCGCAGCCCCGAGGGCAAGGGGTCCACAAGCGCTCAAGCGTCGGCCCCGCGCACGCGGTGCCGCTGCTTCAGGGCCTTCCAGTGCTCGTCGTCGTCCGATTCGTCGAGCTCCCACGGCGGGACGGGCTCGTCCTTCCTCTCGTCGTGGGCCTCGACGTCCTGCTTCTCGGAATCGGTCTTGATCTTCTGGGCGGCGGCATCCGAGAGGCTCACCGTGTTGCTCTCGCCGTCGTCCTTCTGGTGCTCCTGCTCCAGCTTCCGCCCGAGCTTCATCATGATGGGGTTGACGATGCCCTCCAGCTCGTGGTGCTTACGCTCGAGCTCCTGCTTGCTGTCGGCCGCAGACTTCCCATCGGCCTGGTCCTGCAGCCAATCGAGGGTGTTGTCGATCGCCTTCCCGATCTTCACCTTGTCTTCATCCTTGAACTTGTCCCTGGCCTCCGCCTCCAGGAAGGTGTTGTGCAACGTGCAGCAGTAGTCCAGGAGGCCGATCCGCGCCTGCTTCGCCATCTCGTCGGCCTGCTTCGACACCTGCCCGTCCATGGCCTCCGTGAGCTGCACCTTGCGCTCGGCCTGCATATTGAGGTTCTCATTTTTCTCCTTGTCCTTGTCCTTGTCCTTGCCCTCGACGGTCTGGAACTGCTCCTGCTTGGCGTTCGGCGCCACGCTTGCAACCTGGAGCGTGTCGCCCAGGATGCCGACGCCCTGCAGCTCCTCGTTTACCTTCTTGATGTCCTTCTGGCTCCTCATCAGGTCCTGCACGGTCAGCTGCAGCTTCTCGACTTGTCCTTGCAGCTCATGGAGATGCTGCTTCGCCGCCTCGGAGTCCTTCTGGATCCGCTCCTTGCAGCTCTTCCCGTGATCCTTCGTCGAGTCCTCCTCGTATGCCTCCTCCGAGAGCTTACCGACCTGGTCGCCCTCCGTCTCCGAGCCGTCCGAGAGGAACAGGTCGACATCACCAGGGAGGCCCACATCCAAGTGCGCTGAGGAGTTCCTGATCTTGCTCACGCGTCCCAGGCGAGAGGCGAGCGCCTGGCCGCCGCGGGCCCGCAGGAACTCCTTCGCCTTCGAGAGCGAGGGTTTCGATGCCAGGCCCAGGCCACGCTGGACCGCCACCAACACTTCTTCCTGGAGGACGAGCGAGGTGCCTGCGCCCTCTACGTCTTTCTTCCCGCAGCCGCCGAAGGCCGTGCCGCGAGCCACCGCGGTCAACAAGAAGGCCGACTGCCTGGCCGAGCATCCGGAGGCGAGGATCGCCATCGCGGCCCCGAACGCAGCCTGCGCAGCCGGGGAGGCCGCCAGGGCCTCCATCGCTCCACGCCCCGCCGCCGGCGAGGGACACGCGGCCAGCTCCTGCCCAATGGCTTGAGCCAAAATGGCTTGAGCCAAAGGAGGAGGAGGAGGAGGAGGAGGAGGAGGAGGAGGAGGAGGAGGAGGAGGAGGAGGAGGAGGAGGAGGAGGAGGAGGAGGAGGAGGAGGAGGAGGAGGAGGAGGAGGAGGAGGAGGGGAGGAGGAGGAGGAGGAGGAGGAGGAGGAGGAGGAGGGGGAGGGGGAGGGGGGGAGGGGGAGGAGGAGGGAAGGGGGAGGGGGAGGGGGAGGGGGAGGAGGAGGAGGAGGAGGAGGAGGAGGAGGAGTGAAAACCCTAAAGCCAATCGAATTCACTAAAAAAGAGTACCTCCATCGATCGGGTGCAGGGCCGGAAGGGTCACGAGTTCGGGGGGCCAGACAGTGGTCGGGTTGGTGCTGCCAGAGGTTCGAGGGCTCAGCAAGCCGTCATCCGTAAGACCTTGGACAGTCTACTCCAGGCTCGAGTCAGGCCCAGCTGTTGATCCGTCTGTTCAGAACGGAGAACATCTAGACTCTAGGTTGCTGTCTGCAACTGCAGACAAGAAGCTCGACATGCATGCAGCGAGCTTGCTGCACCAGCACTGTGGAGTGGAAGGCTTCACAGGACCGCACCCTGCTGGCTATTTTGAAGGGGCCCAAGGACACACAAATAAGTACACACAAGTAAACAATCCCCCATATGTTCTCATATTTCCTGGGTTTTTGTCTTCCCCCCCACTTCCCATATTTTCCGATATTTTCTGGGGAATCGCCGATGAATTGTGTCTGCGTGTTTTTTCCCTCCTGATATTTGGAGATTGAGGGTCAGAAGCCTCTCGGGCCAGCTGCTGGTGCTGGGCGTTCGCACGTCTGCGAGCTGGCCTCCCCCCCCCCCCTGGCGGCCCCTCTCCACCTGCGGGCGGCCCTGGAGGGCGCTCGCCCTGCGCCTGCCGGCGCGCCTCTGCCGACTCTTGAAGGGTCTCTGTGAGGTGGCCCTCCCCTCTCCGGGGACCCCTCTCCATCTGCCCAGGGCTCGAGTGAAACAGTGTTTTCCGTTTTCGTTTTCTTTTCGTCATCCCCAGCTCTGTCTTCGCTCCACAGCTGCTGCAGAACGAAGCCAAAACGACAACGGTCCACGACATGGCCAAAACACCGTTTCGCTCGAGCCCAGCATCTACTGGCCGTCATAGGGGTAGCTCGCCTCCGCGCCAGCGGGGCGCGCGCGCCTGCAGTGGTCTCCGCTTCTCTTGCAGAGCGTTCTGTCAGCTGGAGCGTCCAATGCGCTCTGTCAGCTGGAGCGTCGATTTGCGAGATGGGGCCGTACGCCGACGGGTGCCGCGCGGCAGCGTCGCTGGCGCCCCCCTAAGTCGTGGGGCGCCGAGGCAGTCAGTGAGGGGACAGCCCAAACTGTTCCCCCACGGTCTTCTACCCTCGGTCGCAGAGGAGCTCCGCCACCTCCTCCTCCTCCTCCTCCTCCTCCTCCTCCTCCTCCTCCTCCTCCTCCTCCTCCTCTCCCTCCTCCTCCTGTCAATCGCCACAAACGCCATCCTGATCATCGACATCGCCATCGTGCCACCGTCATCATCGCCATCACAATCGTCATCGTCTTCGCCATCGTCACCATCGTCACCATCCTCATCATCCACATCCTCACCATCTCATCATCCTCAGTACCATCGCCACCATCACTATCCCTAGAATCATCACAATCACGCGTCATCATCGTCATCGGAATCGTCATCGGAAAAAAAAAAAAAAAAAAAAAAAAAAAAAAAAAAAAAAAAAAAAAAAAAAAAAAAAAAAAAAAAAAAACGATCCGATCTTCTCATTGTGCAATTCCTCCTTATCCTCTTCTTCCTCCTTCTCCTCCTCCTCTCTCTCCTCATCAACATCCACTTCCTCCTCCTCCTCCTCCTCCTCCTCCTCCTCCTCCTCCTCCTCCCCGACCGCGACGACGACGACGACGAGGACGACGACGACGACGACGACGACGACGACGACGACGACGACGACGACGACGGACGGCGGACGGCGGACGGCGGACGGCGGACGGCGGACGGCGGACGGCGGCGGCGACGACGACGACGACGGCGACGACGAAGGCGGCGGCGGCGTCGGCGTCCAACGCTGACGGCGGGCGCGCGCGCGCGTGATTCACTCTGGCGGGGCGTCTTTCACTCCGCGATCCGGGGCGGAGGGTCCTCGCCGCCGTCTGCGACCCCGCCGCGCCACCAGGCTGGCCGCGCCTCGCGCCGACGCCACCGACACCGCCGACGACGTCGACAGCGGCGACGACGGCGACGGCAGCGGGGAAGCCGCCGACGCCGGCGACGACGAGAACGACGGCGGCGGCAACGAGGACGGCGGCGGCGAAGACGGCGGCGAGAACGGCGGCGACGGCGACGGCGGCGACGGCGACGGCGGCGACGGCGGCGGCGGCGACGGCGACGGCGACGACGGTGGCGAGGACGACGACGGCGACAACGGCGAGGCCGCCGCCGCCGCCGCGCCTCGCCCGCGGGCCGCGCCGCGGCGCCCCAGGTCCGCTGCGGCAGCACGCCGCTGGCGCGCATGGCCGCCTCCAGCCGGAGCAGAACGTGGGCGTCGGTGGCGGCGTAGATGACCTCTCCGCAGAACACCGCACCGCCGCCAGGAGGAAAGGGGGGAGGAGGGGGAGGAGGAGGAGGAGGAGGAGGAGGAGGAGGAGGAGGAGGAGGAGGAGGAGGAGGAAGAAGGGGAGGAGGAGGAGGAGGAGGAGGAGGAGGAGGAGGAGGAGGAGGAGGAGGAGAGGAAGAAGAGGAGGAGGAGGAGGAGGAGGAGGAGGAGGAGAGGAAGAAGAGGAGGAGGAGGAGGACGAGGAGGAGGAGGAGGAGGAGCACCACCCCTCGGCTGCACGCAGGGGTGACCGAGGCAAGAGTGACCTTCGGGTGCGCGGCTGCAGGGGGCCGCGGGGGAGGCCGAATCCAAGCGGCCCAAGCGCGCCAGCCAGTGCTGGTTGGACCCCTGTGCCCTCACCAAACGTCACTCCAGCCAACGGTCACTCTTGCGCGTAGCCTCAAGTCGGGCGCGTCCCCCTACAGGCAGATTTCGGGCGACAGATTAAAGATACCCCAAACAATACCCAAAAATAGCTAAGAAACGCTCCAAAAATCGTCCCCGGATGATTTGTTCCTATCTTTGGACATTCCTCCTGGAGAGGGACAGGCCCGACTTAAGCATAGCCGAATCCCAGTCCGAGGCCGTCCTGGGCCTGAGCCGGGGCCAGGCCGCCCCTCCCTGGCCCCCTGTCGGGCGTTGGCAGAACTGGGTTTAGTGGAAACTGGTTTAGTGATTTGTCCCGGGGGCGCCCCCCCGTCCCATTTCCACTGACTGGAACTGCCGTCACCCGAAAAAACACCAAGTACGGCAAACCTGGTTTAGTGAACCTGGCCAATTGAAGGGCCCCAGGGCCGTACCACTAACCGGGTCCCCTTACCCGGGATCCTGGCTATACCCGACCCTGCGCGCCTGGGCGCGCGGGGGGCCAAGGGCGCGGGCGGGGAGGCTCCGGGGCCGGCCCGGGCAATCCGCCCAGACCTCCGCAGAGGTGTGCGCACGACGCGAGGGGTATCCTCTCCGCTGACCGTCCAGAGTGCTGAAAAATAGCACTCCAGCCCTATAGACCTATCTGGACTGCCTCAAACCTCGACAGGAACCAGGACGTCGACGCCCTGGTGCCATTTTTTTGCCCTCCTGGAAGGTCAGGGTCGGGGTGGCCGAGAGTCGGTCGAACATCAAGGCTCGAGCATCGGCGAGCATGGGTCTGGAACGTCTTTGGCCCGATCTGGGCCTCCGGAGACCTCGGGGGACCTCCCGAGACTGTGAAAAAGACACGCTTCGGGTCCCAAGGCCCTCGCGAACGCCCCGCTTCGTTCCCAAAAACCCGCACGAAACGATGCGGCTGGATACAAAGATCAGGTCGAGAGCTCTGGCCGAGACGGTTTCACCACGTCGTGGCTACTTCACTGCATCGGGGCTCGGGGACCTGCACCGCGCTCAACGGCCTGAAGTTCCAGTTGCTCTGCCGCACGGACTTGTTCAGCTTCTCGCCCAGGTAGCGCTCGACCATGGCCGCCAGCGAGTGGTGCCCGCCGATCAGGAACACCTGCGCACCGCTGAAGGAGGCCTCCTCCTCCTCCTCCTCCTCCTCCTCCTCCTCCTCCCTCCTCCTCCTCCTCTCTCCTCCTCCGCCCACGTCTTCAGCTTCGGGCGTCCTGCCCGCCGGGCCCCCGGGGGGGGGGGGGGGGGCGGTGGAGGCGAGCCTGTTCCCGCCGCCCGCAAAATGGGGGGCGGAGGCGCCCAGGGCCGCCGCCTCCCCCCCGAGGTCCCAGGGCACGGCCCCGAGGCGGTGGACGCAGGGCACACACCGGCGGCAGAGCTCGGGCGCGACTTCTCGGAGGGGCGACATTAGGGGGCCACATGCGGACCCTACCCCTACCCCCCACGATTTGGGGTTAACCTCGTTCGGGAGCTCCCGAGCGAAGTGAACCCCACCCTCCCCCTCAGAAATCGTGGGGGGTTAGGGGTAGGGTTCGCATGTGGCCCCCTGGACATGAAAGGGGGAGGGGGAGCAGAGGTGCCCTTTGTCGGGGCGCCAGAGGCCCCCTTCGGGGCCCGAGAGGGCCCCTCGTGGGTGGCCCCAAGGGGGCCCCTCTTGTGGGCAGCCCCCGCTGCCCCCCCCCCCGTTTCTGTTCGCCCCCCCACTTGCGCGTCCTCCGAAGAGCCTGCTCGGCCACCTCGCACCGCTCCGGGTAGGCGGGCGCCGTGCTGCTCAGCCTGTGGATCTCCGCCAGGTCCTCCGCCTCCAGGGCCTCGCCGAGGAGGCCCTCGCGCCCCAGGGGCGTGTCCTCGCGGCGCGGCAGCTGCACCCGCACGCGCTGCAGCCGCTGGGTGTACATGTCGACGACGGAGGCGATCGCGTCGGCGGTGCCAAGTGATCGACCGTGCGGCTCGAACAGGAGGTTCAGCCGTATCAGGTCCTGGGGGAAGCCGAAGAAGAGCTTGGTCGTCTCCTCGCGCCCGAGCAGCCAGCCCATCAGGCAATGCAGCACGGACATGTACAGCGGCGTCCGGTTCACCGTGTCGAGGACAAAGGCCCTGGTCGGCGTGGCGATCTGGATGAGCGACACCAGGTGGGGGTCCGACCACTCGATGTCCACGCCCACGCACCGGGGCGGCGCCTCCTGCAGGAACGTGAGGACGTGCGACAGCGCCTCGCGCCGGGTCTCCGAGGGAGGACGGGAGAGGGGCGACTGGAGGAGCAGGAGGGCAGGCGAGAGGGGCAACGAGGAGGGGGAGAGGAGCGAGTCTCCGCGCTCCCCAGTGTCCGCGCGCTGCGGGCCCCGGCTCCAGCGCCGCCCCCGCCCCACAGGGGAAGGGCGGGGCGAGGGCGCGGCTGGAGCGCCCCCCGGAGAATGGGGGGCCTCGTCGGCCCAGCCCCCCTGGCCAGCCTCGTGTGCCCCCCCCCCCAAATGGCCAGGCCCTCCGCGCCACGATCCAGACCATACAACAGGTGCTCGACCACCAGAAGCCGTCCACAAGAAGCCCAGGCCTGAGGCCCCAGGACGTCCAGTGATTTCTGGTTGGCGTGGGAGCAGCACGCCTTCCACCGCAGAGCCAGCGAAACCCGAGGAGCCCCCAGGGACCCTGGAGGCAAGCAGGGTGTTTCTTGACATGGGTCTCCACTGTTAGGAGGGCCTCTCCTCCTGCTCCTGCTCCTCATTCGGGAGGGGAGGAGAAAAAGGAGGAAGAGGAGGAGGAGGAGGAGGAGGAGGAGGAGGAGGAGGAGGAGGAGAAGGAGGAGGAGGAGGAGGAGGAGGAAGAGGAGGAGGAGGATAAAGAGGAGGAGGAGGAGAAGGAGGAGGAGGCAAGCAGGGTGCTTCTTGACATGGGCCTCCCTCCGCGCTGTATCCCAGGCGCTGTCCGCGGCCAGCGGGGGACCCCTGGGCGCCGAGTGAATGGTGGTACGGCAGTCGTCGGGGCAGCGCACTGCGCTCGGCCAACGCATCCCCTTACCGGGACCACTTGCTTTCGGTCCGGCACGTCCTCCAACAGGCGGAGCTTTGACGGAAAATAGAAAGTAGTCAAAAAATGCTCAAACATAGTCGAAGGTAGTCAAAAGATCGTCTCCGCACGATTTTTGACTATTCTTGAATATTCCTCCTGCAGAGGGACACGCCTGACTTGGCCCTTGCTACGCAGTAGCCCTCGGCGGCATCGGTATTCGACGGTCTCCTGCGGCTTCGGGCGCTCCCCGGCGGTCTCCAGCGGCCTCCCAGCGCGAAGGCAAGCCATGTCGCTGCGTTTTGACCTGGGGGCGGAATCGAACGCCTTGGCTAACAAGGTGGTCCCTCACAGGGTCCACGCCGTCGAGGCCACCCTGGAGGGCACGTCCAAGGCTGTCCCGAGCCGCCCGAGGCCATCTCTGGGCGCCAGACGACGCAGCAGTCGTCCCCCGAAGCCGACGTCGACACCAGAAACCAAAAACGCAACATCGTAAAAATCAGAGCTGGAGCCCAGGGCCCCACAGGAGTGGCCCATTTGTCAAGCTGGCCCGATATGTGAGTCCTGTGGCCCGAAATCTTGCGACGAAGCCCGGAGTGGAAAAACTGCAAAGCCCGAGTCTCAGGGCCGGGGCAAGTCCCACTCCGTGCATCACGAACGGCAAATATATCCGTATCCGCGCTCTCGCGTTCCAGACGCTTGTGCCCGATCCCGCGGATGAGCGGTCGAACACGTACGTCCCTCGCGGTGCACCCGCGAAAGAACGCACCGTATTCGCACGGTCGCGGCCTGGGGGCTGGCCCGCAAGGCCGCGGATACGGATTTCGACGACCTACCAGACTACCCCAACCCAACCCGAAGACCCGAATCTCGGGTGGGGGGGGTTACGGGTTCCATTTGTTTTCTCCATGTCCCCCGACCCACCCCACCACTGGAAATGGAGGGCACATTGAGGCCTTCGGGCTGGGTTGGGGTGATTTGGCGGGTGGTGAGATATGAACGCATGAAATAACTCTAGGCCAATGGACTGTCAAACCACGCGCGAACTGCAAGCGGAAACTGCTCGACGGCCAGCCCACGACAATAATGCCACGACATTCGGTGCGAACGGCGCGCTGCTGCTGTGCTCTTTGGCGCTTGAACTTGGCGCTTCCTCGTGCTGGCACGCGGTCAAGCATATCTGATCTGCTTTTTAAAACAGGGCTAAGATCGGGATAAATCGCTCCAGAGCGTTCCGGAGCGCTCTCAGAGCGTTCCGGAACGCTCTGGAGCGGCCGCGGCGCCCAATACATCCTCCAAACCCGCCGATTCTCAGAGATTTCGAGTCATCCCGATCCGATTTTGTCCCGATCTTCGCGTCGTTTTAGCATATCTGACCTGCTTTTCGCCCACGAGCGCGGCGCCTGGACCGAGTCCACGAAGTGTATCGCGTCGAGGGGCAGCTGCGCGTGCGGCGCGGGCAGCCCCGAGCCCGCCTCGGCCAGCGGTGCAGGGGGCGCGGCCTCCTGCGCGGAACCGGCAAGATCGGGCCCGAGTCGGGCTCTCTCTCTCTCTCTCTCTCTCTCTATCTGACTCTTTCTCTCTCTCTCTCTCTTTCTCTCTCCCTCTCTCTCCCTCTCTCTCTCTCTCTCTATCTCTCTCTCTCTCTCTCTCTCTCTTTCTCTCTCTGCACATATATATACTGGAGAAAAACCCAATCCGGGCTATAGGGCTAGGGGGCTATAGGGCTATAGGGCTATTGAGAGATAGGGCTATAGAACTATAGGGCTATTCAGTTGTAGGGCTATAGGGCTATTGGGCTATAGGGCTATAGGGCTATTGGGCTATAGGGCACCCCCGGGCACCCCCGGGCACGCCCGGGCACCCGGGCACACGGGCACCCCCGGGCACCCCCCGGGCACCCCCCGGGCACCCCCCGGGCACCCCCCAGGCACCCCCGGGCACCGGGGCACCCGGGCGTGCAGCGAAAATCGGCGACAAACCTAACCTAACCATATAAATCCGCTAGGACCCCTACAGAGGCAAGCTCTGATTGGGGGATATACATGCTCCACACACACGCGCCCCCTCCAGCAAGAGCAAGTGGTGAAGGGGAGCGAGACGGAGAGGAGGAGGAGGAGGAGGAGGAGGAGGAGGAGGAGGAGGAGGAGGAGGAGGAGGAGGAGGAGGAGGAGGAGGAGTGGGAGGAGGGAGGAGGAGGAGGAGGGAGGAGGAGGAGGAGGGAGGAGGGGAGGAGGAAAAGGAGGAGGAGGAGGAGGAAGAGGAGGAGGAAGAAGAGGAACAGAGGAGGAGGAGCGAGAGTCTAGATGCTATGAGATCAGAGACTACGAGAAGAGAGCCAGAGATGACGCCAGCCGAGGCAGAGCTGGAGAAGGCCACAAACGCGCGCGAGGAGGCCTGGTCCTCGGACCCCGCCTCGACAAGCCCGTCGAAGCGCGGGAGCCAAAGAGAGAGGGGACGACGACGCGGAGGAGCGCGGGCCACGGAGGAGGAGGAGGAGGAGGAGGAGGAGGAGGAGGAGGAGGGAGGAGGGGGGAGGGGGAGGGAGGGAGGAGGAGGAGGAGGAGGAGGAGGAGGAGGAGGAGGAGGAGGAGGAGGGAGGAGGGGGAGGAGGAGGAGGAGGAGGAGGAGGGGGAGAGGAGGGAGGAGGAGGACGACGACGAAGCGGAGGAGCACGGGCCACGGAGGCGGCGAGCCGAAGCGGTCGCCCGCGACACTGCGGGGGCAGGAACGAGGGCAACAGACGGCGGCGGCCGCTGCGCGGCCCTGCTCGGCGCGCGGCCGCGCGCGCCCACGAGCTGCTGGGCCTCGATCCGAACCTGGACCTCGAGACCCCAGGGAGGGAGAGGGAACGAGGGAGGAGGGAGAAGGGGGAGACGAGGAGGAGGAAGGAGGGAGGAGGGAGGAGGGAGGAGGAGGAGAGGAACGAGGGAGGAGGGAGGAGGGAGAAGGGGGGGGAGACGAGGAGGAGGAAGGAGGGAGGGAGGGAGAGGTTGGCGCTACAAGCCCAAGACGGAGTCCTGCCACAACGCTTACGAAGACCGCTGCTGAGCTTTACAAGCGATTTCGCCCTTACTCGACGGATTGGGCCAGAAGCCCAGAGACAAGCGCTAAAAGCACCCCTGACGGTGCTTGAGCCCAGATAGCAGCGAGGAATCCTATTCGAATCGGGCTTGCGCGGGCGATGGAAACCACCGCTCCGGCGAAGAAAAGAAACCGATAAAGAAAAACGCCAAAACTGCCCAATCCCCGCGCACCTTCCCAGTCCGTACAAGACACCCGGCCGCCACCTGAGGGGTCGCGCGCCAGGCCGACGGTGTGCCTGCTCACTGAATGCACTCAGAGGGCACGCTCGTGCTCTTCGGAACAGCACCGAGCAGCTCACCTCTGTGGCGTCAAGAGACCAACCAAATGCCGTGAATGCGTATACGTGAGGGCCGTGCGTCGCGGTCGAGTCGACCGGGAGTCTGAGCGGAGGTCGAGGAAAGTGAGACACACGACCCATGAAGGTGGGGGGCGAGGATGTGAAGGGGCCGTGGACTGGTAGAGTTGAGCGAGGAAAAAGATTGGAGTGTCCTTTGAGGGCTCACGGATGGCGATGTCCAGCGCTGCGCCTCACCGCTCAGTCTGTGTCCTCCCCCTCGCTGCTGCGAGGCTCGTCCTCGTAGACAAACTTCTTCACGGCCTCTGCGGCGTCGCCCGCTGCAGGCTCCTCAGCGTCCGCGTTGGGATGGTGAGGACCTTCTCATCGTCGCCGTCGGCTGCCGCGTCCTCCTTCTGGGGCGAGGCTACGCGCTTCTGGCCCCGCATCTTCTTGCTCTTGAGACCACCCACGACGGGTCTTCCTGGGAGCCCTCTCGGGCTTGGCCGTGGGAGCCTCCGTCGGCTTGCCATCGCCCGTGCTGCCCTTGCTGCACTCGTCGCGTCTGTGGCCCTTCTTGCTGCACCTGGCCTGCTTGTGCTGCGCCTGACCCCTCGCCATCGCTCGGACGTCCATTCCCTGTGTTTTTTCTCGGTTTCGTGCGTGGCTTTTTTCGCCAAGTGATCAAGGATGCTCCTCGAGGGTCCTCGCCGAGGAAAAAAAAACGCACACGTCCGAGCGATGCCAGGACCCGGGCTGCCGATGGGCGCCCGGGACCCCGAGGCACGCCAGAGCTGGGCGGCGGCTCCAGCTCGCGGGCGCCCCTGGGTAGCTCAGTCGCTGGGTCGCTGGCGCGGGGCGCGCGCCGGGGCCCCGTCGCCCCGGCGCCGGCGCCACGAGCCCCTCTTGGCGAGCCAGGTGGCCGTGGAGGCCTGGCCCCTGGCTCTGAGCCAGCTGACTGGCCATCGCTCGGAGGTCCACTCCCTGTGTTTTTGTTCGGTGTCGTGCGTGGTTTTTTCGCCAAACGATCAAGGATGCGTGGGTTTTTCGCCAAATGATCAAGGATGCTCCTCGATGGTCCTCGCCGAAAATACAACGCACACGTCCGAGCGATGGCAAGCTGGCCGGAACGGCCTGCTCGTCGGCTCGGGCGACCGGGAACGAGGCTGGTGCCCCTCTGGGCGTCCGAGGCCAGAGGGGGGTCCTCGCCGACGTGGCACTCACGGGTCCGCGAGTCGGTCCAGTGCGCCGCCGAGCGCCAGGCAAAGACCACGACCGACGGCGACGGGGTCTCCCCCTCGTCTGGATCGAGGCTGCAGTGCCCACTCGCGATGTGCACTTCGTGGCCGAAAGCCACGCGCGGCTGCAGGTCCATGCACCCGTGGGTGAAGAACAAGCCTCGAGATGCATTCTGGGAGGGACCTGCTCACGCGCCACTCGCAGCGGATGCCCTTATCGACCTTGACGGCGTCGAACAGCTCGCTTGCAAAGGGCGCGCAACGATTTCCTCAGCACGATATTACGCATCCTTCTTGTCCACCGCCGCGCACGTGTAGGTCTCGTCGTCGCGGGCCTCATCAGACGCCTCCGGCGGCGGAGGCACAGTCGTCTTAGCCCTGCTCGTCGCGGCAATGCGATGGCTGGGGCGACACCGTGGGCCGCAGACCTGCAGTCCTGGCAGCACTGCAACGCGCCTCGACAGCCCGATTACCGTGTGAAGTAGCGAGGAGGGAGCAGGAGGAAAGAGGAGGAGGAGGAGGAGGAGGAGGAAGAGGAAGAGGAAGAGGAAGAGGAAGAGGAGGAGGAGGAGGAGGAGGAGGAGGAGGAGGAGGAGGAGGAGGAGGAGGAGGGGGGAGGGGGGAGGAGGAGGAGGAGGGGAGGAGGAGGAGGAGGAGGAGGAGGAGGAGGACGAGAAGGAGGATGGGGGGAGGGGGGGAGGAGGAGGAGGAGGAGGAGGAGAGGGAGGAGGGAGGTGAAGGAGGGAGGGGGGGGGGAGAAGGAGAAAAGACGAGGAGAAGGGAGGAAGAGGAGGAGGAAGAAGACGATGTCTGATCTCATCTGGCTCTTGGAAACCATCTCTCCAGGACGGACACGCTACTGTTGTGAGAAATGCATGCTGCTTATGATGATGAGGAGGAAGAGGAGGATGAGGATGAGGATGACGATATGGATGAGGATGAGGATGAGGATGAGGATGAGGATGAGGATGAGGATGAGGATGATGATGATGATGATGATGATGAGGAGGAGGAGGAGGAGGAGGAGGAGGAGGGAAAAGGGAGGAGGGAGGAGGGAGGAGGGAGGAGGGAGGAAGAGGAGGGAAGACGATTTTGGATTGCCAGCGTGATGAACCAGCATGGCTGTCACGGAAGGTCGGCGCTGCAGCTAGCAGAAGGTTTTCAAATACAGTCACGACGGCCGTCTGAACGACCACGCTGACACATCTGCACGGGCACCAAGAACACAAGTTCAACACAGTACGGTGGGACCCCGCGACAGAGCGGACGGAACGCGTCGAACCGAAGCAAGGATTCCAGGCCCTCCCCGATCCTCAATGCCCCCCCATGATGGGCAACGCTGGACGGGAAGCGCCAAGGGCGGCGACCGATGACCCGCTGTGCCCGTCCGGGGCACTCGGGAATAAGAGAGCAGAGGGAGGAAGGGGAAAGAGAACGACGGGGAGGGCGAAGGCTGGGGCGCAGACTGAGAACCTCCTGCTCTCGTGACAGCCGTTCCCCCAGGACTTCCTGAGATCCCCACGCTCCAAGCCTGGCGGCGGCGCGCCGACAGGGAGAGGGGAGACCCCTCCCCCCCCCCGACGCGCGGGACACCTTCCTTGCTGCGGCCAAGCGCGGGGAAGTGCCGCCACACGGCCACCCGAGGAACGCGGGGCAAACGCCGAAGGCGGCGGCAGATGCCCTCGCTGTGCCCGCCCAGGGCACTCTCGGGAGGAGCGGCGGCGGGAGGGCCGCAGGCCTGCATCTCCCGGCTCCCTCGCCTGCGCGCAGGTGGGCGATATGGCAACTGCGTGGCGAGGCAGCTCAACACCTATAGGGGGCCACGTGCGAACCCTACCCTTGCCCCCCACGAGTTCTGCGGGGGAGGGTGGGGTTCACTCCATTCGGGAGCTCCCGAGCGAAGTGAACCCCACCCTCCCCCGCAGAACTCGTGGGGGGCAGGGGTAGGGTTCGCACGTGGCCCCCTAACCTATCCGCTCCGCACCCCGTGTCCGAATCCCCAGCACAAGAAGCCTGGCCGGCCTGGGCCCGAAGCCCTGGGCCTGGGCTGGCCGGGCCTGTCCCCCTACCGGGGGATTTTGAATAAGAAAAATTAAGAACAGTCAAACAATACCCTGAAATACTCCCGAACGGTCAAAAAATCGTCCCCTGGCTATTTGTTGTTACTATCTTTGCATATTCCTTCTGTGAAGGGTCAGGCCCGACGTAACTCCAGCAGAAAAGCTGGCAGGAGCTCATGCGACGAGTGGCCGCCGTGGCCTGCGCACACGGGCGCTCGCGGGGGCGAAGGAAGGTGGGAGCGTGAAATCAATGAAGGAGCTATGGGACACACAAGTAAGTAGACACAAACAACAGGATTCCCCAGATGGCCCACATCTTCCCACATCTTCTGGAGTTTCGCCTTCACACACCCCCCGCTCCCCATATTTTCCCCTACTTTCTGGGGAATCGACGAATCATTGTGTCTGTGTGTATGTTTTCCCCTCCTGAATCAAGAAGGAGGGAAGGGTGACTGGGGCACAGTCTGACATCCTCCTGTTCGCTTCTGCGCGCAGTGGCAGAGGAGCGGCGGCTGCGCAGCAGGGCGGCCTCAACCGAGACGGGCTCTGCGCCATGCTGTTGGTCAGGTGCCTGGCGTATTGGGCAACCTACAGTTCCGTTTTTTGTACATGCTCCGCCTGCGGATCATGTAGTAAAAATGCTGGAATTCAGAATTAAAAACAACGATGACTTCATGCATAAGTAGATTCATACATTAATCATGTATCAAACACCCTCTCTATATATAATGTATTAAAAAACTGCCCTGCATCAACTCCCCACAATCATCCACCAATGCACCTCCCTACTTCCTCTCCTCTCCGCAACAGACGGGCGCCAGCTCGCGGCGAGCTGGCATGCTGTGCATTCCTAGCCCTACCAGGCCGACGATCGCAGAGCATGAGGAAGGAGGAGGCGGGAGGGAGGAATCTGTAGAAAGTGAGGATAATGGAAGGCGGGTAGGAGGGAGGAGAAATCGAACGTCTCAGCACAGACATGCATTCATGATAGCACCTCTTATACCTCGTCCTAAAGATGACAAGCTGCGACGTGGCAGTCGCCTCACTCGGAGCCCGTCGGACCGTCTGGAAGAAAATCCCGACGATCACCACCAAAGCGAGGCGCAATATCCTACCTCATATGGATGTCGATGGCCGCATGTGCGGCAGCCATGGCGGCCACGGCAGCTTCGATGCCTCCTTGGGCGACGATCGCGTCGCCCATCCTCCGCTCCCTCTCGTCATCGCGGGCCGCGCTGGAGACGACAGGCTGCCCCGGGGTTCCCTGGCCATCGCTCGGACGTCCATTTCCTGTGTTGTTTTCGGTTTCGTGCGTGGTTTTTTCGCCAAATGGTCGAGGGTGCTCCTCGAAGGTCAACGCCGAGAAAAAAATGCACACGTCCGAGCGACGCCAAGTGCCCGGCACGGGCACGCGCTCAGCCCGCGGATGCCGCGAGGGCCCAGCCGCGCGCTCGGCCGCCGCGCGCTCGGTGGCTGCGTGGCACGCGGCCTCCGCCCGGGGCGCGGCCTCGACCTGGCGCTCGTCTTCCGCCAGGCGGGCCTCGGGACAGCGCGCGGCTTCGCCGCCCTGCCCAGCAACTCCACCAGCGGCCTGGTCGCCGTTGCCGACGGGCGCCTCCAACGACGGGGCGTCCGCCAGCGCCGGGGGCGGGGCAGTCACAGCCTCCGCCAACGCTGGCGGCGAGGCAGCTCGGTCCAGAGCCTCCGGAGGCGCAAGGCCGTGAGCAGCGGCTCGAGCAGCATCGCGAACCGCATCATCATCAGCGGCCTGTGCTGGTGCCAGCGCTGGGGCGGCAACCACCGGGAGCGGCCACAGCCTCCGCAGGCACCAGTGCCGAGCCAGCACGGGCCAGAGCCTGCGGAAGCTCATCGGCAGCAGCGGTAATCGAAAAGCCTCGAGGGTGGGCGAAGCCGTCAGAGTCGGCAGGACTGTACCAGGAACTCGACGATGA